CTCCTAGCCCGGCTGCCAGGCAAACAGCGGAGATGCTGATGAAGTGCATGGCGGCCGACTTCGATGGGATGACTGTCAACTCAAAGAAACCGTCGGAGGTATTCGACCCATTGAGATTGAAGACGGAAGGAAGGTGGCTAGGAAATTGGCTGTCCGCTGACCAGTCCATATGGTTCCTCAAGGAGATTGGGGGCATCGAGAATGCAGCCAAGACCTGGAACTTCTTCAATCCGGTCATCAAGGCATTCCCGGTAGGGCAGGTGGACGTCCTGTTGATGGTGATGTACACCGAAGCGGATGAGATGGTGAAGGAGCACACCAGGTTGATTGCCGTTAGGCAAACTAGGATCGGGAGAGATCTGAGTTATCAGAATGCCCGCAAGATGTACACGGAACAGAGCGCGATTGGTGGACCACTGTTGTGGGAACTGCGGTGGGATGAAGTCCCTCCAGTTGGGTACATCATGATGAAGTTCTCGGACTTCAGGAAGGCCGTTCAAATCCAGCGAATCAAGAGGAACGGGAGGGCCATGATCGAGTTATTGGTCGTTAGGCCGGATGAGTATCACAACATCGGGGATGGCCGGGAAGATGAAGGCCTCGTGCAGATTACTGCCCCGATTAGGCCGGAAGCGCAGGTTTCGCCATCTTGGTACATCAAGGACCGGATGAGGAACTATGCTGGAAGGTTCGTGGTGGTGATGGTCGACCTCAGAGTGTATTGGTCGAAGGTAGATGCTGTGTATCTGACCAGAAGGAAGACACTTGCCGTTAGGGAAGAGATCCAGGTCGGAGCATGGAAGGCTGCGTACTTCCACGATGAGTTCACGGTGTTGTACCATCGCGTTTGGGATTATGGAGACTTCGCCCCCGGTAGGGGAGTGCATCAGCGATCCAGGGACCGAATTGACTTGTGCGTTAGCACCACGCTCTGCCTCAGGTGTGCGGAGATTGTTCCGTGTGGATTGCATTTGTGCACGGGGTGTGCATTGCCGATCTTTTACCCGGGATTAGTCCCGAATCCGGAGGGCGCCGTTGGGGAGAGTCCTTTGGTACCGGACTGGGTGAAGGAGATGAATCAGTTCAACCCGAGGCCAATGGCAAGGGAGGAAGTGGGAGTCATCAAGAAGACGATGATCTCGTTCTCCATGAGCTCTGACCTGCGGCTGACTGTTCAGAGCGGAATCAGGTTGCCCAGCTACATCAACCCGGAAGATGGAGGTGCTCGGGGCGGCTGGGACAAGATGCAGGAAGTGCTGTTCAGGAACAGCTTCATCATCGGAGTCAAGGAGTCAGACCTCTTCGTGGAGAAGGCTGTGGCGAAGTATCTCATCACGACGGATCAGGTGGACAAGTACCCGTCGGTGAGCGAGTTCTTCCGTGCCAATCCGTTGATAGCGGCCAAGTGGGGACGGCGGATGACGACTTCCGTTAGGAAGCCGCCAAAGCACGACGTGTACCTGTCGTTCTACGTTCCCATGGCATACGTGATTGGTGCCGCGGCTGGACACTTGACACCGCTTTATCCAACACATCGAAAGGACGAGGATGTGCTTGGGAGTCACCGGCTGATGGCGACGCTGCGAAACTACATGGCGAATGCGTGTGGGTTCGACGAGCAGGGGCGGCTGGCTGAGGCGGTGAGGAGGATGAGAATCGCCAGGGAGAAGGGTGAGATGAAGCCGCTGGCCGGTAGGCATGACCCGCACGTCTACGAGAATGAAGAGAAGGTGAAGACAGTGATCGGTGCTCAGAGTCCGGAACCGGTTGAGGTTGACATGAACACGTTGCAGACGGTCCATGACCCCGCACCGGAGAAAGATCCCGAGTCCAGGAGGACCAAAGATGCCGATGCCAAGGGCCAGAAAGGGAAAGGCAAGGCAGGTGAGAAGGGTGGAAAGGGCGGTAGCCCTGCTGCTCAGGCACCAAAGAAAGGCAGCGGATCAGGAAAGGGAAGCGGGTCGGGCGGTAGCCCTGTAGCTCCCAAATCCAAGGCTAAGGATGCTGCTGATTCTGGGCCGGCACCAATGGACGTTGATCCTCCCAAAGCTCCGGGAGACAAGTCGTGGCTGGACACGGCGAAGGCCGCGGATGAGAAGGTGGCGAAGGCCAAGGCAGCGGTCGCTGCTAAATCGGCATCGGCATCGGCCGGGAAGGCTGAGCCCAAGTCTGAGCCCAAGCCTGAGCCCAAATCTGAGCCCAAGTCTGAGCCCAAGTCTGAGCCCAAGTCTGAGCCCAAGATTGAAGTGAAGGAGGAGGCGGACGATCCCAAGCCCGATTCCGGCAGTAGCCGAGGAGGGGCGCACCAGACCGAGGGTCAGCAAGTGGGATACCCCGACGGAGGAGCCTGGCAGGGATTCGTCGAAGCGAGAAGCATCCAAGCAATTGGATGAGGTCGCTGAGCGGCCTGCTGCGGCGGCGCGAGGAGCCAGCGGGGATGATCTTCATTCGGCACTGGAGAGGTCTTCAGGGGCGCCAAGTGAAAGGACAACGGCATCGAAGGCGATGGCGAGGAGGCCTGATGAAGGTGATATCAGGTTGCGATCGGCGGCCCGTGATGCTGGACCTTCCGTGCCGGGGCATTTTGCGGTGCTGCCGGGAAGTGAGGCCATCGAGGTGTTGCTAAGTGCATCAGACCGGGAGTTATCCCGACGGTTCAGGGACCACATGAGACGTGGCGAGGATGACTTGGCATTGGATGTCCTGAATCGGGTGATGGCGGAATCTATGGCTGCGCGCGATAGGCGCAGTGCTGGTGGATCGCATGCGACATCGTTGAGGTCAGTGAGCATCGACTCGAGAGATTCCCGAAGGCCACGAAGGCGAGAACCTCGTTATCGAAGGAGGGACGACCGAAGGGATCGCCGAGATACTCCACCAAGCGGAGGAAGCCGGGAACGGCGAAGGGACGATCGTAGGGGACCAGATCGTGATCGTGATCGAGACCGGACGCGGGGCGGACGGGACCGGAGGAGGCGTGACGACAGCCGGTAGGCGGAGTCACGAGGGCAGAGACCGGTAGGTCTGGTCCCGTCCTCCGAAGGTCGGCGCTGGGCGGTGATGATGATTCCCCTCCCGGACCGCTGAGGCGCGTTGATCATGTTCCTGATTTACCGCAGCTGAGCGGCTGGAGATGGTCACTCTGGTGTTCTTCGAATGAGAGTGGAAAAATGGACGTTCGGAGGGTACTCCATGGTCCTTACAGTATAATTGTTTTTGAGATACGCACGGTCGCATGTACATTCCGCCGGTAGGCGAGAGTACATTTGGAACATATTGGTACTTTGGTACATGGCTTCTGATACGAATGAATACTCGCATCTCTGATGCAAACTGTGGTGACCTAGTGTCGTCATGTGGGCTTTTCCACTGGGTATGTTGGACAGTGTTACCCCGATTAATTCGGGGTGGTGGCGGGATTTTAATGCCCGGGATGTCGCGCAGCTGCCTATGTGGGTTTGCTCCACCGCTGATGGCGGTAGTGTCCTGCTGTTTGCGGACGAAATGTGAGCATTATTCCTATCAGTAAACGGCACGCTCCCTCCGTCTGAGACGGACTCCACGTGAGGGGGGTGTGATTTGCCATGTGTTATTTCTGTGAACTGGAATCTCGCGGTAGCGATGAGCCAGTCAGTTCTTTCAGACACTCGTCAATCCGACTTGTGTTTGGCTCAAGTTTACGAGTTCCGTCACGCCTCGGATGGGCGTCGCCGAACTCCTGCGTCGACCGACGTTGTCTCGGGGGAGAAAGAGACCTCGGGCCGCCGTCAGGTTGGTAGGAACCCTTCGTGCGGCCTGTCGTCGATCAAGGTTGTGGGTAACTCTTTTCTGTGTGTTTTGGTTTACTTGTGGTTGTTTGGTTGCTTGTACGTTGGAACCCCTGATCTTTGGGACTAGGGATTGGTTATTGTTTGGGACCTTTCTTTGTGGCTTGTTTTCCCAACTTAACCCTTTGCCTGGGCACAGGCTCGTGCCCGAATCACATATTATTATAGATTTGTCTCTTCTTGTTTTTGATCTTCTTCTTCTTCTTCTTCTTCATCATCATATTCTTCATCATCCTCATCCTCATCCTCATCCTCATCCTCATCCTCATGCTCCTCCTCCTCCTCCTCCTCCTCCTCCTCCTCCTCCTCCTCCTCCTCCTCCTCCTCCCTCCTCCTCCTCTCCCCACGTCGTCTCATATCAGCAGCAGCAACAGCAACAGCCACAGCAACAGCAACAGCAACAAACAACAAACAACACACAGCCACCAACCATCACCACCACCACCACCACCACCACCACCACCACCACCAACACCAACACCAACACCAACACCAACTTCACCACCACCACCACCACCACCACCACCACCACCACCACCACCACCACCAACAACAACAACAACAACAACAACAACAACAACAACAACAACAACAACAACAACAACAAGTGTTTGTTGTATTTGTATTATTTTATTGATATAATTATTTATATGATATGCTTGTCATTATTATTATCAATTTTACAGCAGCACAAACAACAAGCTACAGCAACGTGCAGCGCACAGACACACACACACAACACTGAACAGCAGCAGTATGATAGCATGTCAAGCTGACAGTCAGGAAGTCAAATGCGCACATGTCAACATGCAACCGGTGTAGGAGTCAACAGGATCGCAGATGGCGGCCAGTGGAACTCAGGTGTGTCTCTAAATAAGGGAAGCCGCCATACACGGGTATGGTTGGTTTCCCTTTGGCTTTCCTTTTGAACCACTCCGAAAAATGTGCACTCAAAAACGACCCGCCCCCTTGCAACCGTGAATGTGATTGTAGAAAGCAGAGACTGAATTATATATATATATATATATTTATTCTGAGTTCTATCGAAGTAACACTGGTATTCTGATGACCATGACCTCAAGGCAGAGTCTTGGGTTGTTGTATTTGCCCGGCAGTATAAGCCGACCGATCTGGCATATTGTGGCGTCAATCAAACTCATGGCCACTGCCAAGGCGGAAGGGAGATGTGGTCCTGGAGGATAGCCCGGAGGACATTCGGCGCAGGTGTCATACCGTACCAAGCACCCTGGATTTGATCCAGGATATCCTTTGTGCAACAGGGATCGATTGGTCACCAGAGTTCCCTCTGGCCGAGGTACCCTTTGCATTTTGATATCCTTTCAGCTAAGGACTGAGTTTTACCATTTGACCATGGGTAAAGTACGTACACCCTTTACATGTGAAGGGCCCCCTTGTCACAACAGAAAAGCCTTGATTTGGCAATTATTTGAACTTGTCCATCCATGTATTTGTCGCACATATCACGTAAGACCCCGGACGCAGGTTGGGCGCAAAGGGGCAACGCAGGTTTGTCGAATGTCCTTGTGTTCGACTGAAGTCTTCACAAATCCTTGGGATGATTGATCCAACGCCTACATATGAGGTTGGGGCTGAAACCAAAGATTCTCCCCCAGAGATTGTGTTTTTTGTTGTCTGGAGTTTGTTTTTGTTGTTTTCCCTCAGGTTGTTTTACATTATCCCTCACAAAACAGCGCAACACACCTCGAGGTGGTTGTGTGTGTGTTCTTGATTTTCCCGCTGTTGTTTGTTGGTTTTATATGATGTAATGCTTGCATATATCAATACAACGCCAAAAAGCCGTGTTGTTTTAGCACTTTGTAAGAGTAGAACACAAGAACACACTGTAAACATGCATGCTTTTATATCATGGCCAATTCAATGTGGAATGCCCCCAGAGACCAGAATCCGGTCAGGGGTTTTGTACATACATTCATCATTAATGATTATGCGTGTTAAATCTAAGTATACAATTCCTAGAAACCACGACGCCAGGCAGTATAGCATTAAAATTGCGTATGTTCAATACATACGAAATAGTTAGAAGTTAGAAAGACTTCAAGGCACAAAAGGTAGATCATGGGGGGGCTGACCATACATATATATATATATATATTTGTATGGAGGGAGAGAGAGAGAGAGAGATGTAGATATTATGTGCAATGCGCTGTATTCCACAACCGATTTGGGTTGTCAACAGACTATGAATATGTACTCTGCACTATATACTCCGGACTGTGCAAATAACATTTACAATATACTACACACATGTATGTGTTCTTTGCACCATGCAGGCGTACCATTTGCTATGTACGCGTAAACAATATACTATGTAATGCATAGGACGCGCTGTATATCATGTAGGTTGATGACGTGCACTACGCTGTACACTAGTTCATGTTGGCTACACCATGTATACAGTATATGTATGTAGCCTATATTAGCCTATGCTGTACTATGAGTACTATGCACTAGCTACCGTATGTCATATGGTACAGTCTATTTGCTCTCGACTATAAGTGTATATCGTGTATGGCCTATACTATAACATACCTTTGTTATAATTTATGACACATACCATATAGTGGGAACTATGGCATGTGTACTTTATAATGTGTACTATTATGACATATATATGTATATACTATGTTTGTCTCTATATACTATATCCATATTGAGAGGATCAATTATATGATTTTCACCATGTACTACATTATAATTGCTATGTAGTATAAAATATGCAGTATGTGCTATATACTCTGAGCTGTACACTATATACGATCTACTATATATTATGTGCTGCTTGCTATCTACGATACATGATATGCAGTACACAATACACGATTTACGATGTGGGATTTCACCCTAAGGAAACTACCCAAACTAGGCCGAAGTAACCCAGGTTTTATTTGGACATAGCCCGGAATGGGGTGATATCCAAGCGTGTCATAGAAAAGTCCTCGGATAGATGCTGAGACAATCCGCGTGCTTTTAGATCCAAAGCTTGTTGGTCCACGCAGGACCGTGCAGCTGAGATGCGCATCATCCTGTGCCTAGCTGCTGCAGCGCTGGCAGGCAGCCATCGGACTACACATGCGGGGCATTTCTTTGTTTTCCTTTGTTTTGAATGAGGTGCCTCTTTAATTCAACAACCGAAAAACAAACAAATATATTTTCCTTATTTTGAGGCCCTAATAGATTCGATCACTGATGCCTGCCGGGACACTCGAAAGTTGTGTAGACAAAACTGATTATATTCGAGTTGTTCTTGTGTGGCATTCCAAGCGAATCACTCTTGCTGGTACTTAGCCATGAGACAGGTGCTGCTGCAATTCCATATGCAGCCGGAATCTCAGAGCTTGATGTCGCTTAGGCGCCTTTTTCGCTGAGCAAATAAATGCAGTGGTGAGCATTCTCAGATAGCCATTTGGTGCAAACTGACAGGCAACAATGGTCACAGAGCCGATACTTCTTCGATTATTGGCATTTGCAGAATAGCTATTCAGCCTCAGCCCCCAACGAAGTCACCTGGCCGAAGTCACCTACCGGCGGTTTGCGACAGCCAAGGTTCCTTTTTGAGGGGTTCGATTCTTGCAGTCCCCAATTCTGGGGAACACATAACCAAAGGAGCTAGTTTGGAGCATAATCCTTCTCAACCTTGTCTCATTTTGGCCTTTGTCTTTTTGGTTTTCCACTGCTCACCTACTCCCCTGCAAATTTACATGGAACCCAAATCTGAGAAGGAGATTCCTCTACCAATGGATGTATTTGGGGGTTCCATGTTAGTATGCAGAGTATGTTTCGTGAAGGTTCGAAAAGGTGTTAGTGATCGCCTTTTATTACGAGTCCTTTGCAAGTGAGCTTTAGATGCTAGAGGTACCAGATGGGAGTTGCCACTCAGGCTGCTGGTTTTCCCTGGGTCAAGTAAGTTAGCGTGATCTTGAGCTTTTCAGCGTGATCCTGACCACTGTTTGATCCCTATGGCACCTGACAGGGAAACTGGTGCTTCAAGTTACCATGACCGGAGCCTTTTCAGAGACGACACCCTGGTCAATTGGTGATTTCTTCCTCCCACCAACATGGCTCCCGACCACTTAATGGGGAAATTGTCCTTAGAGGAAATGTATCTTCCATGTGCCTTGGTCGAAACTTGCCCTTTCTGGAGATTGGTGAAAAACCCAACCACCCAACCTCCCATGTACTGTTCTGTTTATTTCGGGTAGGGATGAACAATGGGCACCTTGGAGATGTTGCACCATAAGGATTCCGGCCCAAATAGTTTTGATGGCATATCCAGGGGCTATCTTGGATTCGGCGCATTTGCTATTTGAGCTGCCTCATGTCACGTTTTCTTTAGTAAGGGGACAGCCGTTAAGCTCGGTGATGTCAAGAAGCCTTTTGATTCTTTCCTTGACTTGTACTCCTACAGATTGCGAACATCCCTCACTTGTAGAGGCAACTTCTTTTGGGGGGACCCTGTTTTGGGCGCCATATCAATTGGTAGGGCTGTATTTTTTGGGTAGACCTTTTTATATCGTTGCGACTCATTTGCTCACGAAAAAACGTTTGCACCTCCAGGTCCTGTTGCTGAACTACCAGCGGCTGTCGCTTCCGCATGCTAGGCTCTCAGTGAGCTTGAGCTAAGGGCATTGCGTGAAGCGCATCCGAGTTGCAACGCGGGTGGGATAGTCCCAACCATACCAAGGTGCGGGCATCAAGCCCTTTTGATTCATGACCATGATGTTGGAGTAGATCCCCCAACATACTAAGTTGTGTTTATGATCAATTTGTCCAACCTTACATGTGCAAGGATGCTCTTTGCTTATAATGTTGCACATGCGGGTTTGTTTTGTTTGAGGTAACCTTGAAAAAAACAGGGCCAGTTGTCCATTGGTTTGCTACACACACACACACCGAAAAGGGTGCCCTCAAAACAGTCCAATTCTGAATCGCCACAGAGGGAGCACTGGGAGGGTTTTGGCCCCTGGCTAGGCAATGGCTTCCCTTGCCGTGGCACTGAATATGGGTGTCTTCTTTTGAGGGTACCGCTTGTTTGGTGGTTTTAAAGGGCAACCAACAGAAAAAAACGCATTTTTGTTTGGGGGTCCTCTAAAAACAAATACACGTTCGCTCAACATTTCCAGCAGTCCATGGTTCATTTGGGAGAGACATGGGGGAAGTAACCAAATTTCAGCCACACAATTCACAGGAGCCCGATTTTTGCACCATGTCCTTTTGGGAAAATATGTGAAAGACTTCAAGCCCAATGTGGCAACGAACGGCCCATCGCCTCAAGGTCCACCGACGCTTCGAGCGGCAACTTGGCCAGCTGTCCTCGCGACGGGACCGCCACGCAGTCGGTAAGTTGAGAGCCCAAAGCCCCGATTGGCTATTTTAGTAGTCAATCCCTACGACCTGGTTTAGTAGGGCATAGTAGGGCTTGTAAGGCCTGCATAAACCATGATTGACATTTTTGGTGGAAAGGTCAATGGGTTTTGGGCGCTGCTCAGTTGGGTCCAGCTGGGATTGTCGATTGTTTTTGTTGCCCCTTGGCGTTTTGCTTTCCAGGGGAACGCTATTTCGGCTCGATAAATGTGGGAAATATGTGGGAACCCACCCTTTTGGTTCGCATTTGAAGGGATACCAAAAGGAAACGAATCAGATCTTGACCGCTACCCCCAAAATGGGCTTTGGCTCCTTTTGGTTTCCCTTGAAGCCAAGCCCAAATAGCCTACCAACTCAGGGAATAAACCACATCCAATTGCTGCACATTGGCGCTCGCATTTGTTGCCTCCGATTGTTTGCCTTCCTGCGTTCTGTCCCACTGGCCATTTAGGCGGTTCTACTACTTGGTCTTATGGTGGTTATAGTAAGGCCTGAATATGCATATATATATATATATATGGTCAGTCTTTAGACATGAATGAATAGTGGATAGCAGGAATGGCCGCCGATCCTCCTGCTCAAGTTCATGATAGGGGGTCTTCATGCCATGGACATTCAGCAATTTGCGGTGGCATTTGTCTCTGGAGTGGCTGTGGGCTGGACTGCTCGATCGTCAGCTGACCCAGAACCTGGCATCTGCAATTGTGGCTGCGTGTGCCATTGCAAGAGTGATCTTGGTTTGAGCATCTATATCATTGTATTGATCTGCAGTTTGTTGCCCCTGGGACTTGCAGCTCTGTGGTGGTTGGGAGTGCGGCTAATTAGTGATCCTATTCGGTCCCCTACCTCCACTAAGGGCGGCAAGGGTGTCTTCGGCACCACTGGGAAGTTGCAGTTAGCTGGATAAGATGATGCAACCGGGAGATCTCGCCCTAGTAAATTATGGAGAAGTTCCAGAAGTTTGGCATACCCGAATTCTGTTATCACAGGTTTCAGGCACACGATGGATGATCTTGACGCCGGACATGGACCGGTATGATGAGCAACTTGATCATCTGAACCCTGACTATACTGATTTCCAATTTTGGGGGCCAAATGGGGACATTCCTGCGAGAATCAATCAGCATTCAGTGTATGGTTTCAGGGCTTTAGCTCCTGCTGATCTTGCATATCATATGGGACAAGCGAGAGTTGAAGCGCAAGCATTGGTGCAACACATGGGGGCTCCGTTGGCTGCTCCGGCGGCACCTGGTGCTCCACCTCCTCCTGTGCCTCCGCCCCCACCAGGTGTCTTGGGGGCAGCTCCCGTTGTAGCGGCCCCGGTTGCTCCGGTAGCTGCGCCTGGGGCTGTTCCTGGTGGTGCTGCGACGTTTGTCTGGGTGGCCATTGAGAATTCTGGTCAAAGGTGAGGTGGTTTGCGTTGAGCCGACACCACTGCCAGCTGGCCATGTTTTGATTGGAAGCCGGGCAATCGTTCCAGATACTCAAGGGCGATCTGAGGGCTGTTTTGTCAGACGAGTTCCACAGGCTGAGGCGCCAATGTATCAGCTTGATGACTTGAGGACTTTGCCGGTTCATTTTGATGGACAAGGTGTACGGCGGAGAGACTTCTCAAGTGCAGTGCCTTTGATGATTGAAGGGTCACCTCAAGGGGGTGGCTTGCAGCTTGAAGGGCCTGCCACTGCGCTCAGCATCGCCAAGAGACTCAGAGATCAAGCTATGACACCGACATCATTCCATGAGTTTTGGTTGCGATCCGCTGACATCCCGAAGGGAGACAGGTCCACATATGAGCATGAGTGCCTGAGTAGGATCTTTGAGTCCATGATCTGTGTGGACCAACTGAATCCAAGTGGTTTGCAATCAATGGAATTGGTCGTCAGAAGAATGCAGGTGATCCGGGAAGCTCACAGGATTTCTCCGAGTGCGCCTGACTACTCGGCCGCTGATCACTTCATGGGATGGCGATTCCGTCGTCAGGGACAAGGAGTTGATCCATCTTTGGCGGCGCACGTCGCCACAGAACTGAAGAATGAGGCAGCCATCGCAAAGGAGGCAAGGAAGGCTCGTGAAGAGCAGCAAGCGCGCCGCCGCCCTACCAGCAAGAAGGACGCTGGGGGGGGGGTGGCGATTCCAAATGACCCTGATGGGCTCCATGGGGAATTCGGCCGGCTCCATGGGTGGCCCGTTTTTGGCCGAAGGGTCCAGTTGGGACCTGAATTTTGATTCAGGCAGGGGCACTGGTTCCGTTGATGATTCTCATCGTTGGCGCGATTTGTTTCCTTTGCCGTCCTCACCATCACCAGATCGCTTGACAGGTTTGTCCACTTCACAACGGAGGAGGCGAGCCAAGGTGCGACAGCGGGTGGTTTGCGGCGAATGAGATTGCTGGGTGCTTGAATGAGATGTATCATTCTGGGCAACCGGGGTTTTCCCATCAGCCCACTCTGGCGCAACGTCAGAGTCAGCATGCTTTATTTCAACAACTTGGTAGGGTAAAGTTACCCTCCATTTCATGTGATGAGCGTGAGGCTATCGATGAGCTTCTGCAAAATCCCTTGTCCTATGATGGTGGGACTACATCCAGCACCGTGCGGCCCTATGACCGAGACCTTGTTTCATTACCAGACATGGGGGCTACTTTGGTTCCTTTGGCTGAGGTGATGGATCCGATTGGTCGAGACGTTGTCGAGAGCCCCTCGGAGAAGATGCTGGTGGATGAGGAGACTTGGGGGAGAATTTCAGAGCAACAGAAGGGGTTCCGTCCCTACATGGATGCAGTCTTGGCAAGCAGTCCACAAAAATATCATGAGTTTGTCAAGGACCTGGCGCGGAAGAACATGGTGGACTTCACAAGTTCTCCAAAGGACTTGATTGCTCCATTTTTTGCGAAAAAGAAGAATGGCATGTTGAGGCTTGTTCTAGATTGCAGAGGCGTCAATCAAAGATTTCATCCACCTCCGCCCATGGCGCTCTCAGCAGGAGCTACGTGGAGCCAGGTGCGTTTGGAGCCCAATGATTCACTGTTCATCTCTCAGTCTGACGTGAAAGATTATTTTTATTCACTTGAGTTACCCGCTGAACTTCGTGACCTGTTCTGTCTTCCTGCGGTTCATCCATCCGTTCTTCAGGAACTTGGCATTGACTCTTCTGGACTTTGTGATCAGCAAGGCTGGACATATCCCAGATTGCGTGCAGTGCCTATGGGGTGGAATTGGGCCACGTGGTTGTCACAACGAGTTCATCAGTTTTTGTCATTGGAGGCCAGTGGGTTATCCGAAGATCGTCTTTTGGTTGAGGGCCGGGCTTGTCCTGATCTCAGTGATGGCTGCCCTGCGTTGATAGTGTATGCAGACAACCTGAACGTCTTCGGGACTGATCCAGACCGAGTACAAGCTGTCAAAGATGTCATTGTTGAAAAGCTCAGGTCGGTGGGCTTCCGAGTCCATGAAGAGACCGACTCATGCTCGATGTGTCAATCCCTCGGTTTTTTGATAGACGGCAAGAGTGGCATCATCTCACCCATTCCGGAGAGATTGGACAAGATTCTGGCGGCCTTCAGGTTTTTGGCGAGGAGACCGAAAATCAGCGGTCGCTCCCTTGAAAGGCTGTTGGGTCATGCTATGCACATTTGTCTTCTACGTCGTGAATTGTTGTCTATCTTTAGAAGCTTATATGATTTCATTTATGGCTCATATTTCAAGCGGCAGAGGCTGTGGAAGTCAGCAGCGCGTGAGGCAGGATGGTGTTCTTGTCTTTTGAAGCTTTGCACTGTTGATATGAAGCGGCCACAATCAAGTCTGGTCACGGCTTCGGATGCGTCGCTGTCAGGCATTGCTGTTTGCAGTCGTGAGTTGAGCTTAGACCAGCAGCGGCAGATAAGTTCTCAGAAGGAGAGCTGGCGATACAAAGCTCGAGTGCCTGTGAATCCCAGACAGGCAGCTTTTTCCAACAGTGATCCTTTTAGCGATCCCAATACGGTGAAGCCCCTTTTTCCAGATGTGAAACCGCAGGGGTCGATGAGCACATCATGGATTCCGATTTGTGGACTGAGTGTTTTTCTATTCATATGCAACATGCCGCACATATCACTCTGTTGGAAGGTCGTGGTGTGGTAGCTGCTTTGCGTCACAAGTTCAGGTCGATTGAAGAGTTTGGGAGATCACATTTGCATTTCAATGACAATATGTCGATTGCACTTTTGATGTCCAAGGGTCGTTCAAGTCAATAAAGCATGCTTAGAGTTTGCCGTCGAGTAGCATGCCTTCTGCTCGCAACTGACTCCTGTTTGGCTGTACGCTGGATCCCCAGTGAGAGAAACGTTGCTGACCAACCTTCGCGGAAGTGGGAGCATCTTAGAAGAGAGGATGCTCTTACCAGAAAGCAGAAGGACAAGATCAAAGAAGGCATTCTTGATGCCTGCTATCCCTCGGGCGCCACAGGAGATTCCTCAGGATGGGTTCGACATGCCCATTCTGCTACCTCAGGTGGCCGAGCAAGAGACCAAGAACAAAAAGCGAAAAGCGGTGAAGGCCACTTTGGGCCTCACTCGACCTCAGAAGATGATGAGGCGCCAACAGAAGGTGGAGGCACGAGACGATGGTGCCCGATTTCCAGGTCAGACTCCTCTCGAGATGATGGCTGTGTCGAGACCGGTGGCCCTGGATTACCAGAAGCGGATCATCGAATTGAAGCTCTTCGCCCAAAAAGAGAAGCTGAGTCTGACAAAGAAGTCCAGCTTCGACTTGGTTTGTTGCAAGTTTGTGAACAACATGTTCAACCAAGGCTTCGAGTACCAGGACGGCTCCAAAACATTGGCGGCCATCATAGACGGCTATCCAGACTTCGCCCCTCGGCACATGTTGTGCCGAACACGAAGGGCCCTGCAAGGATGGCAAAAGGTGGAGCCACAACAGACCAGGCCCCCGTTGCCATGGCCTTTGATCGCAACAATCTGCATGGAACTGCTGTGGTAAAAGCAGCCCACCACAGTTCTCGCCCTTCTTCTGATGTTCACTGCCTACTTGAGGCCAGGAGAGACTTTGGATGTACAGACCGCCGACCTCATCCCACCCATGCCAGGAAGCCCTTACTTTGCTCTGCTACTACATCCCACAGTTCGAGGACAGCAGTCAAAGGTGGGGCTTTCAGACGAGTCCCTGATGCTGGATTCTCCACTTTTGCCATGGTTGGGGAGGGGTCTTCAAAACCATGCACGCCATCCAACATATCTCCTGGATCTCAGCTACGATCACATGGTAAAGAATTGGAAATGGGCTTTGAAAAAGGTGGGCCTAGCAGAGAACCATGCAGTTCTATATCAAATGAGACACTCAGGGCCCAGTTACGATCGGCACCAAAGGCTTCGATCCCCGCTGGAAGTGAAGCAGCGAGGAAGATGGGCCTCAGATCACAGCGTCAAGAGGTACGAAGCACATGCAAGAATCGCTCACAGTCTTCCACAGGCTGTGCAAAACCACTGCATCAAGACGGAGAAGATTTTCCACAAGGCGGCCCCAAAGTTTTTCCTCCAGAAGGTCAAGCCATAGCTTCCTCCAAGAAGTATGTCCTTGAGATCTTCTCTGGATGCGCTCGGCTGTCACGTGCATGCGCTCAGAAGGGCTTCTTTTGCATTGCCTATGACATTGAATATGGCGATCTTTGTGACTTGCTGAATTCAAAGGTGGTGGATTCCTTGTGTAAGTTTACCCGAAAACACGCCCATGAAATTGCTTTGGTTTGGTTTGGCACCCCTTGTACCACATGGTCACGGGCTAGAAAAAATGATGGTGGTCCTCGTCCATTGCGGGATGATGATTCTGGTTTGATGGGCCTGGCGGGCCTCTCTGTCTCGGAGCAACACAAAGTTGACGAGGGCAACCGTTTGCTGCAGGTGACCGTCGGGCTATGTAAGTTGCGCCTAGCCTTGAACATTTCCTGGGTCATTGAAAACCCATTTTCTTCCCGCATCTGGCTTACTGATGATTTGCAAAGTCTTCTACTTCGTGGAGCTAAGCTGATCTGCGCTGACTTTTGCGCCTATGGTATGCCCTGGAAGAAATCTACTGGTTTTCTCGTTTTTGGATTCGGACAATTTTCTGATATTGCTCATGTCTGTCAGTCGGCTAATGGAAGATGTCAACATACTGGCCGCAAACACATCATACTAACTGGTAAAGATGCCACTGGACTATGGATGACTCGGAGGGCTCAACCATATCCCCTTCGTTTATGCGCTGCCATTGCAACTCTTTTGCATGACCATATTCGTGCCAGCAGAGAGAGCAGCGGTCTGCAGTGAGCACCTGGTGCTTCACCAGGAGCCACTGCAGAGCCAGTTTCATTTCTCATGATGACCATCTTTCTGACCTGACATGAGGGCAGAACACTAATGAGAGTGGCTTGGGATTTTCTGATGTGGCATTTGTCAAAGACTTGTCAAGCCACATTCAGAGACATGGCCTTGTCGAGAAACTCCAAGGTTAGCGTTGCTTCTTTCAAATCACAGGTCTAGCTTTGACCACTTGCAAAAAAGTGCCGAGCTGTGATGTAGACTGGCCATGGGAGCGAGAACTTTTCATGGTCAGTCTTTAGACATGAATGAATAGTGGATAGCAGGAATGGCCGCCGATCCTCCTGCTCAAGTTCACCTCCCTACTCCCCTCCACCACCATCTTTTGTGGGGATTTTCTGATGTGGCATTCGTCAAAGACTTGTCAAGCCACATTCAGAGACATGGCCTTGTCGAGAAACTCCAAGGTTAGCGTTGCTTCTTTCAAATCACAGGTCTAGCTTTGACCACTTGCAAAAAAGTGCCGAGCTGTGATGTAGACTGGCCATGGGAGCGAGAACGTTTCATATATATATATATATTCTAAATCTGCCAAAAGTCAGATTGGGGTTCGGGCACTCGCATGACTGTCCGTTTGGGCGACAGGAGGAGATTCTGGTGGAAATCCGCGATTTGCAGCGGTCCTCCCAGAAAGCTGGGGCTGCCCATGCACGTGCCACGCGCCAAGGTCTTCAAGCGAGAGAAAGCCAATGGAGTCTGTCAGTCTCTTGCTGTTTGGGTTGATCGTTAACATTGTTGCCTTGGGGAAATTACCCTTTCCCTCTAAAATTCTGAAAACCATGTCCATTTGGGTCAGTGGTTTTAGTTTGGTTGGTGTTCATGTGCCACCAACTTGTTGTCAGGACGCCACGGATATGCATCTCAGTGTCACATGCCCGTCCCAAAAGTCGTGGAAGCTGGCCGATTCTGACTGGTCTGATATGGACTCTGTGGGTGTGTCTCAAAATAGAGGTGGTTTTCCCTTTGAAATAACCCCAAAAGGGTAGTACACCAATGTAGCCCTTTACAACCAGTTTAATAAAACCAAGAATCAACGGGTGTTGGGTGCTCAGATGGTGAGTGATTCACTGGAGGCCTGCATCTGTTTGCAAAGCGTCAATGTCTTGCGGAACATTAACTATGCCGCCGCCCCAGCCTGCACGAGCCACAGGGAACACTTTAGCCTGCATCACTTTATATGAGTGGGGTTTGATTTGTTTTGCCCACTAGGCCATGGACCCTGCAGAGCATTCCAACATTGAGGTTTAGGGGCGGGGGGGGGTAGATTCATAGTGAAGGGTTTGAATATCTTGTCCATCTGCAGTAGTGTGGTTCCTAAGGACGATGGCTGAAAAGACCCGGAGATTTACCTGTAGAATACTTGGACTGGATGCTCATGCTGAGAATGAGACCCAGACATCCTCGTGGTTAGAGCAATCTCAGGTTGGGGGATCTCTTGTTTGCGGGGGTTCCATGTCAGTTTGCAGGGGAGTTCCCACCAAACTCGTTCCCCAAGACTCGATGGCTATTGCCCCCCCCCCACAGTCTTCTGGATGTTTGCTCAAACTAGAGGACCCCTCAAAATGGTTTGTTTCCAGTTGGTTTCTCCTTAAAACCATCCATCAAGAACAAGGGGTCCAACGTTTTGAGAGACCTCCTTCTTTGTTCCCCAAGTGGACATGGGTGTGTTTTTTGGGATACCCTCTTCTGGGGGGTTGGTTGAAAGGGAAACCAGAAGGGATTGACACATAGGGAAAAGTGGGCTGTCCCCCTGGCTTTGTAGGGTTGTTTCCCTTCTCACCCTCCCCAAACCAACAGTAGACTACCAATCACATTATTAGTTGCGCACATCTGAACCACCAGTTGGGTGTGTCAAAATCAAGGAACCTGCAAACATGTCTGAGTGCATAGGCCCCTTTCCCAAAAGGAAAGTCGACTTTCAAATGGAGTCTTTGCAATTCCTCCGGTCAGCCAGGTGCTCCTTTGCATCAAGACAGAGTCGCAGAGGGCCGCAGCGGCCCGCCGCTTGAAGAGCTCGCAGAGCTGCGAGCGAGAGATGCGTGTTTGGGTGTTGTCTCAAAATCGGATTCTCCACTCTTTATTGCCAGAAAGGCTTACTCGTTTGACTTGTTGCCTTGATTTTCCTCCATTGTCCCATGGGTTTCTCAAAATGGGACTCCTTAATTCAGGTCGGTTTATTCTGTTTTCCTGTGGAACATCTTTGGGTCTGTGTCAAAATTGCGAATCCGGGAATCCTCCTTTAGTGCCATCGTGCCATCTGTTTTCCAAAGGATGCCTAGTAATGTTGGCATCTGATTAAATGCCCCCTCCGGGGTTTGACAGCCAAGAGCCCCGAGGCCAGTTCCAGCTTCGGGGCATCGCAGGATGCTGTCGTCTGGGCCTCACTTCTGGCTCTTTTTGCTTCTCGAGAGGAGAGACGGCAATACCAAAAATTGCCCAAAATCCTGCCTGTGCATTTGAATTGGTCGGACCCGTGTGTGGACGTGAGAAGTACACGGTGGGGATTATGTCCACAAGCCATTATTGGGGGGGGGTAATTGTTCCACATTGAAACTCAAAGCAGCCTGGTTTCATAGGGGGATTATAGTATATTGAGCGACCTCCGACCGCCTCATTTGCAGAAGACTTCAGTAAAGGCTGGGTGGAAGCATTTGTTTGATAACATACTGAATCAGGTTCAAAACAAGGTAGGAACAGCCCCAAAACAAGGTAGGGCCATGACACGTAGGTCGTTGAGATCACAAACAAATGCAACGTTGGAAAACGAGGTCAATGAGTCCAAATGGTTGCAGGGTTGGAGAATGAGGTAGGAACACCCGTCCATTTAACCCTGTAGCAAATAACTGCCGCAGCTCATATACTGTCCAAGTTTCAGCCACAATTTCAGGGGACACGCCCTAAGCCCTAAGTATCCAACCTATTGGTCGATTTGAGGTTTGGAATGGCGGGGGGCGAGCTCTAAATTTCAACCAACACCAGGGAAATACTGTCAACTCATCAGCCAGCAGGGGTTGCAAAATGTGTTTTTTCATAACCACACCCTGGCGCCCGTTGGAGGTTGTGTAAACAAAGCTGGTTTAAACATGTTTCAGCATGGCTACTTAGGCAATGACCATTGTCCACACTTTAACTGTGACCATGGCACATTGGCACATGGCTGTTTCGCTTTACCTCAGCGCACCTTTCCAAGCCAGGTTGGACATTTCGTCCAAACAGCGTGATTGCAATCCATCCGGTCAACGTGCACCAACCCCCGTTCCAGGCCCCTTTCTGACGTGCTCTGACTGAGTCTTTAGGGTGGCTATTGAAAAGTGTCTCCGGCACCATATTTTAGCTGTGGCTATGGGGGGCCAATACCTCCTGCAAATGAGACAAGGCCAAGTAAGCAGCGTTTAGCCAGCCATGACGGCCTCGTTCTGAAAGCTGGGCGGCCCCAAACATACATAGGTGCAGATATCAAGTTTCCCTTCGATTCTTTACCCATGGGTTCTGGGTAGACCCCTTAAATACAACTCGTTGTGACTCAGATGTCATGTGTCTGTTTCGGAAAGCATTTTTATTGCACGAGCTGGGCAAGCTTCGACCATGAGGCAGATGCCTTGGTTCCGGCGAGCACTTTGTGAATACTACCCTGACCGGGGGCTCCTGGAACACAGGTTTATCATTATCCCCTAAAAGGAACCCTTTCGTCTTTGGGTTCCATGTTAGTTGGTGGGAGGGTATCTTCATCTTGGCAGGCGCCGACCAGTGAGGTCTGTCTAAGCCAGAGACAGTTCGGTCCACGTGCCATTCAAGCATGGTGAAGTGAGCGGCGTCCAAAATCATTCCCTTTTGGCACTAGCAATTGGGGCTACCTGCATTACAGTATGTCTTATTTGCCTACATAATTTGTGCCATGGCAACAAACTGTTCAGGATTCTTAGGGATGGTCCGCCTCTTAATTTCCTCGAGCCAATGACCCACGTTTGGGGAGTTTTTCCGTGCCGAGATCCTGGGCGGCTTGCGCCTGCTCTTGGCGCTGCTACCCCGCTGCGAGAAGAGATGGGAGGCCATGTCTCGTTCCGACAAGTGAAAAGAAACGTGTCTTCGGCGACTCGGCTTCCTCTTGGTTTCCCTCTGGCGCCAAAAAGAGGCACTCTCCCGGCTTAAAAGGCCCACCCTTAGGGGACTTTCTTGAAGACCTGGTGGCTGCTATGTTAGCTGAAGGGTACCAACTCAGACACTCAATTGCCACGAGTACGAGGCGGAAATTTTAGCGGATGAGGACTGCCTGCGGCCCAGCTGACGCGATGTATCTTTCGGAGCACTTGCAGAATCCGTCCACACGGGACCTGACTAGCGGGTCCTGGAAGACCATTTTCCTCTAAAAGGACTGGTCGGGTGCATGTTAGTGAATGGAAGGGTATCTCTTGGGCAGAAGCTAGGATGGGAATCATTGGGAATCTTCCCCAGACGGTCTATCCCGCCTCTTCAAACTTGTCAAACAGATCCATGTTTGGCCCTCGGCTCGGAACCAAACAATGCGGTTGTTTCGCATTTGGGGGAACCCAACATGGATGGCATCCATTTGGTTTGCAATCAAATAAGGTTCCGAATGGGATATAAGGTTCCATTTGCGTTGGGAAAGTCAGAGAGTCCCATGGTTTGTGTGGGGGATTAGAGAGTTCCGCATGAATGCCGCAATGGACCATAGACAGGCTGGGATGTTTTGACCGAACCTCAATTGGTTCAAAACAGGTTCAAACACGGGCAATATAAGAGCCTAAAACATCATGGGATTGAGGGGGCACTTTCATACCAAGATATGACCACAAGATAATTTTGTGATATGATGTGTGTAGTTATTCAGCCCTTCCCAACTCAGAAACGGCACACTGCCTCATGGCTCGTCGTTTGAGGCGGCACTGCCCTGGTGACTTTGGCCAATGGCCATGCGCGGCAGCCAGGTGAGAGCAGAGCCAACACCTCCGAAACCAAGTTTGGGGGGTAGAAACGACATGTCTTGATCTCCATAACGGTCCACCATCTGAGTTAACCCCGCAAACAAATTAACCTACGGTTTTCTCTTAAGCTTTATAGGAATGCCATTCGGCCTGTAGCCCAGCGGCAGACCCTGGGTGCTCGAAATCGGCAGACTCCCCTGTCAAGTTGTATGGCGCCTTCAAATGAGGTACCGGTTGATTGTGACATGTCCCAACCCAAACCTTCGGGGCCGTCCCCATCCCCAAGGTGTTGTTCGGTGTGTGTGTGTTTTTTTGTGTGAGGGGAGGTGTCAAAAGGGCTGTATGCCAACTGGAAGGCAAGAAGCAATTGGCTCCGAACCAAACCCTTGCAACTTGTTTGTCCGTCTGTCCATTGGAGGACTGACATATTATGGGCGTGTCTTTTTTTGAGGGTACCCTTTTTGGGGTTCTCCTATTTTAACGCATACCTATATAATATAATACATATCTTCTGACCAATCCCAAATGGAAGCCAGCGGAATGTGACTTCCCAGGCCCCGCCGGGCAGGCTGCAGCAGCTTGTGGCTGACAGTGCAGCACTCGAAATCCGAACTCCCGTGCGACTTTTTGGGACTCGAACTGGAAACAAACAGGTTCAATCATGTTTTGGCCAAACGGATGAAAACAAGGTGGCGCCCTCTTCCTTTGAACCAAACAAGTCGTAACGACCCACAAGGTGTTCAATCTTTGCCTGGAGGTCCGGGAACCCATAGAGGTCAAAGTATCCAGATGTATCCAGTCTTATTATTTTGAATATTTTGAGTTGTTTTGTTCTTCCAATGTCCAGGGTAAGTATTTTGACCGCTCATGGTGGCAAGGTGCCGCGGTCAAAACCCCCCTTTACCTGTGGTTACCTGTTGGTCAACGACTCATCAACCTCTTAATTCCAATCAAAAATCCGTTTGCATAAGTGGCGGATATGAACCCCGAGCGTTCGCACATGACATGGTCCCTCAGCCCACCACGGCCAACAGTTTGGGAGGCTTGACCATGGCCTGACTTGGCTCATTCTATCCCAGAGTCAGCCAGAAGCTCCCCTGTTGAATCCCAACGGATTCCTATTGCAAGCAAAGCAATCATAAGGCTATGCGCAACTACAGGGTTTCCTTTCTTACAAGTACTTGCAAATTGTTTGGGGAATCCACTGTACCCTGGCATTCAAATCTGCAATTGCCAATTGGTCAGGTCTTCTAAAGGTCGGATTTGACAGCAGGTTGCTCATATCTTCGCTGGTCAACACGTAGCGCCATGGCAGCGCGAAATACACGCTTTGTGAATTAAGTGAAGCGATTTCAAGGATGTGCGTTTTGCTGTTTAAACGAAAGGTTGCTCTCAGGTTACCTTGAATTGGTGATGTGGATCCGAGTTTGGGGATTTGAAACCCCTTGTCATTGTTCGAAGCAACCCCCTAACCTCCACCTGTCCAAACTGTGCAGCAGATGTGCATTTCTGGGGTAGCTGTTTAGCAATGAAGCCCCTGCAACATAGCCTTGGCAGCTTTCAAGCCGCCGAACGTTACGCATATTATATAATATATATATATATACACATACATATATATATATATGTACAGCTCTTTGACATTATACATATATATATATATGCTACCCCCCCCCCCCCCACTGCGATCCGCTTGTTTGATGGTTTTTCTCTTCAGGTGGGCAGGTGTCTTGCGCCTTCAGATAAGCAGATGTGTTGCTCCTTCAGACGAGCAAGTGTCTTGCTCCTTCAGACGAGCAGATTTGGGCTCCTGCAGATGCAGAAAGAGTTTGAGCTGGAAAGAGGTCGCAGGATATGCAGATGAACGGATTTCAATTAGGTTTTAATTAGAATTATTATGTCAAATTAGATTGTAATGCGGTTTCCTTTCCCAGAAGGATTTGTTCAATATTTTAACTAGAATTTAAAAGGGAAGAACTCTAGTAAAATTTCTAGTTAACTAGAATTTAGAGCACTTCCCTTTTAAAGATGCTTTCAAATTAGATTTCAAAGGGGGGTCCTTTCCCAGGAGGATGTTTAATGTTTTTCAATGGTAATTGAAACAGAGCTTAACAAGGAACGAATTCTAGTAGAATTTCTGATTTCAGTTAGAATTGAACTGGGGTCTTTTTTTCAAAGAGGCTAGAGAGGTGTTCGAACAACCCCCCCAATATGTTTTCATTTCACATTAGATTGTAAAGGCGGAAGTCTTTTCCCAATAGTTTTTGTTATTTGTTTAAAACTAAGGTTAAATTGAAGTTAGTAAGGAAAGAGATCTAGTATAAGTTCTAGCTTCAATCAGAGTTTAGATAGGACTTCAATTAGATTTGAATTAGACGTCTGACTTCAAATTAGAGTTAAAAGTGATTTCCTTTCCAATGAGGATGGTTCAATCTTTTAACCATAATTTTCATAGGAATTAAAAAGGACAGAATTCTACAGTAGTAGAATTTCTAGTTTGAATTGTAGAAGTTCAGTATGGTTGGTTGTTGCTTTTCAACGGGGGGCTCCTTTCCCGGGAGGATGTTTTAACGTTTTGCCAATGAAAATTTAAGTGTAATTTAACAAGGAACAAATTCTAGTAGAATTTCTGGTTTCAGTTAGAATTGAAATAGAGTCTTCTCTTTAAAGAGGCCAGAGAGATTTCCAAACAAATGCCAAATATGTTTTTCACATCAAATTAGATGTTCAAGGTGGAAGTCCTTTCCCAAGAGTTTTTGTTATTTGTTTAACTAAGATTAAATGGAATTTCGTAAGGACATGGGCCTAGTAGAAATTCTAGCTCCAATTTGAATTTAGATAGGATTTCCTTTTTAAAGAGGACTTCAATTAGGCTGTAATTAGAAAACTTATTCCAAATTAGAGTTCAAAGGGATTTCCTTTTCAATGAGGATGGTTCAGTCGTTTAACCATAGTTCACATAGGAATTAATAAGGGCTGACTTCTGGCAGAATGTCTAGTTTAAATTAGAACTTCAGTATGGTTTCTTGTTAAACAGGATTGCAATTAGATTTTGAATAGAATTCTGATTCCAAATTGGGTTTTAAAGGAAGGTACTAGTACCTCCTGGAATGAAGATTGAAGATTGAAGATTCCCCGGGACTCTTTCAGGGAATCTTCAATCCATCTTCAATCCTGGGGGGGGTACTAGTACCTCCCCCCAGGTACTAGTACCTCATGGATTGAAGATTGAAGATTGAAGATTCCCTGGGACTCTTTCAGGAAATCTTCAATCCATCTTCAATCCTGGGGGGAGGTACTAGTACCTCCCCCCAGGTACTAGTACCTCATGGATTGAAGATTGAAGATTGAAGATTCCCTGGGACTCTTTCAGGAAATCTTCAATCCATCTTCAATCCTGGGGGGAGGTACTAGTACCTCCCCCCAGGTACTAGTACCTCATGGATTGAAGATTGAAGATTGAAGATTCCCTGGGACTCTTTCAGGAAATCTTCAATCCATCTTCAATCCTGGGGGGAGGTACTAGTACCTCCCCCCAGGTACTAGTACCTCATGGATTGAAGATTGAAGATTGAAGATTCCCTGGGACTCTTTCAGGAAATCTTCAATCCATCGGGGGTAACTGGGTCTGACATCTTCCAAGATTGAAGATGGATTGAAGATTTCCTGAAAGAGTCCCAGGGAATCTTCAATCTTCAATCTTCAATCCATGAGGTACTAGTACCTGGGGGGAGGTACTAGTACCTCCCCCCAGGATTGAAGATGGATTGAAGATTTCCTGAAAGAGTCCCAGGGAATCTTCAATCTTCAATCTTCAATCCATGAGGTACTAGTACCTGGGGGGAGGTACTAGTACCTCCCCCCAGGATTGAAGATGGATTGAAGATTTCCTGAAAGAGTCCCAGGGAATCTTCAATCTTCAATCTTCAATCCATGAGGTACTAGTACCTGGGGGCAGGTACTAGTACCTCCCCCCAGGATTGAAGATGGATTGAAGATTTCCTGAAAGAGTCCCAGGGAATCTTCAATCTTCAATCTTCAATCCGTGAGGTACTAGTACCTGGGGGGAGGTACTAGTACCTCCCCTCAGGATTGAAGACCAGGATTGAGGATGGATTGCACGATGACCTTCAAAAGGACCCTGAAAAAGGTGGATCGCAGTGGGGGGGGGTACCATATATATGCATACACAAAGTACATTTCGATATGAAGCTGGATGTCATTTTGATTGAGCGCGACTCCGTTGCATGAGGTCAGAAGCGATTATGGATTCTGCATGGCCCTCAGCTAGAGATGGACATGTCGTACCAGGTCCTGTGAAAACCCTTCAGGCACCCTCAAAGAACCTGAGCCACCAGCAATATTTTGCTTTGGTGGTCCATCTTGGATGTCAGGATTGTTTATTTACACGCTGACGCGACACAGCCGGCCACCGGGAACCCAGCCTGTGAGGCCCGTTCCTTGGGGCTAACGTTGGAGTGGACCCCCTCTTTTACCCTTCCATGTTTGCCGTGAGGCAGCAGCTTTGGATGCTGCCAAAAGGCATCTAAATTTAGATACCTTTCTTCGGGGCCTCATTCCCTGGACACATGGTTTCCACGTTTGCGCCCGCCAAAAACCTTGAAACACACGGTGTTTTCCACGTTTTCGGCAAACATGGCCCGACTTAGGGGACAACATCCCCCGCATCACCGGCATCATCCGCATCAGTGTCTGCCATGGATGCGGATGATGCAGGTGATGCCGGGGATGTTGTCGACTATGGGCACCCTCCAAAAAACGCTTGCTTTTTGACTCCGCGGGGAGATGCTCAAAAAATCGCAAAAATCAGCAAAAATGCGCCCGAACACGTTTTCCCCCTTGGCAGCGAGGTTTCAGCGCAAAAGTTCGGCACATGGTCGGCACGTGGTCGGCGGTGGGTCGGCGGCGCGGGGCGGACGGCCTTATACCTGAAGGTATACCTGAAGGTAGGCCCTCCGGGCCTAGGCCTTCGGCGATGTCACGGACCACGGGCAAAGCCCGGTGGCCGGATTTACACGCTGACGCGACACAGCCGGCCACCGGGAACCCAGCCTGTCAGGCCCGTTCCTGCACCCACCCACCTACCCACACCCACCCAACCACCCACCCACTCATTTCCAGTCCCTGCGTGTCCTGTCACTTCCTTGCACTCGAGCCCCCACAGCTAGTTGGTATACCTGCGGATGAATCAGGCCTTTTTTTGGGCTCTTTTTGAACATCGACCCATCCGCCCCCCTCATTGGGGCTAACGTTGGAGTGGACCCCCTCTTTTACCCTTCCATGTTTGCCGTGAGGCAGCAGCTTTGGATGCTGCCAAAAGGCATCTAAATTTAGATACCTTTCTTCGGGGCCTCATTCCCGGGACACATGGTTTCCACGTTTGCGCCCGCCAAAAACCTTGAAAAACACTGTGTTTTCCACGTTTTCGGCAAACATGGCCCGACTTAGGGGACAGCATCACCCGCATCACCGGCATCATCCGCATCAGTGTCTGCCATGGATGCGGATGATGCAGGTGATGCCGGGGATGTTGTCGACTATGGGCACCCTCCAAAAAACGCTCGTTTTTTTGACTCCGCGGGGAGATGCTCAAAAAATCGCAAAAATCAGAAAAAATGCACCCGAACACGTTTTCCCCCCTGGCAGCGAGGTTTCAGCGCAAAAGTTCGGCACATGGTCGGCACGTGGTCGGCGGTGGGTCGGCGGCAGAGGGCGGACGGCCTTATACCTGAAGGTAGGCCCTCCGGGCCTAGGCCTTCGGCGATGTCACGGACCACGGGCAAGGCCCGGTGGCCGGATTTACACGCTGACGCGACACAGCCGGCCACCGGGAACCCAGCCTGTCAGGCCCGTTCCTGCACCCACCCACTCACCCACCCACCCACACCCACCCACACCCACCCAACCACCCACCCATCCATTGCAGTCCTTGCACTTCCTTGCGCTCGAGCCCCGCAGCCAGGTCCCGTCCATTTTCATGCCATCAATTTTCCATCAATTACCGGCCTTGAATCCATACAAAACTTTCAAAAACACAGTGTTTTTTATGGTTCACCGAAAATCCTGCCAAAAATCGAGTTCGGCCGGGATCATTGAGGCCTGCCTGCGAAGCAGGTTTCCATATTTTCGTCTGCCAGCAAGTTCAAAGCACTTTCCAGAAACACCACTAAAAACATTGATTTTCCACGTGTTTTCATGATTTCCGCAACAACGCGGCCTTGAATCCATACAAAACCATCAAAAACACTTGGTTTTTTCTACTTGAAATCGAGCTCGGCCCGGGATAGTTGAGCCCTGCCAGCTAAGCAGGTTTCCGCATTTTCCACGTTTGCGCCCAGCCTTGAATCCATGCAAAACTGCCAAAAGCACAGTGTTTTTGATGGTTCACCGAAAATCCTGCAAAAAATCGTGTTCGGCCGGGATCGTTGAGGCCTGCCTGCTAAGCAGGTTGCCATATTTTCCACGTATGCACCCGCCAAACACCTTGAAAAACACTCTGTTTTTTCACGTTTTCGGCAAAAATGGCCCGACTTAGGGGACAACATCCTCCGCATCACCGGCATCATCCGCATCAGTGTCTGCCATGGATGCGGATGATGCAGGTGATGCCGGGGATGTTGTCCACGATGGGCACCCCCCAAAAAACGCTTGCTTTTTGACTCCGCAGGGAGATGCTCAAAAAACGCCAAAAATGCGCCCGAACACGTTTTCCCCCCTGGCAGCGAGGTTTCAGCGCAAAAGTTCTGCGCATGTTCCCCGCATGGTCGGCGGCGTGGGGCGGACGGCCTTATACCTGAAGGTAGCCCTCCGGGCTAGGCCTGCGGCCCGATCACGGACCACCCTGTGGAATTTTCCCGGACATTTCCTGTTTGAATTTTCCCTTTGCAAGTTTCCCCTTTGCTCCCATCGGAAGTTTCCCTTTGGACGTTTCCCTTTGGAATTGTCCTTTTGGCGTTTGCCCATTGGAATTCTCCCACTGGAAGTCTCCCTTTGGAAGTTTCCCTGTGGAATCTTCCCAATTGGAAGTGTCCGTTTGGAATTTCCCCTGTGATATTTCCCCTTGGAATTCTCCCTTTGGAATTTTCCTATTTTATTTTGTTTATTTGAAGTTCTTTCCCAATAGAATTTTCCCCACTGGGTTTTCCCCTAACAAATTGACTATAGTGATACAAATTATACTTGTGTAATTTTTGCCAAATTGAAGACTTGATAAATTTTGCAATATTTGTAAAACTTGCAATATTATGCAAAAATCAATAAATTTGACTATATATATATATAAGACCATAGAATTATCACACAATGTATAACTCACTCAACCTCACTCACTCAACCTCACTCACTCAACCTCACTCACTCAATCTCACTCACTCAACCTCACTCACTCAACCTCACTCACTCAGCCTCACTCACTCAACCTGACGCACTCAACCTCACTCACTCAACCTCACTCACTCAACCTCACTCACTCAACCTCACTCACTCAACCTCACTCACTCAACCTCACTTACTCAACCTCACTCACTCAACCTCACTCACTCAAACCCCCTCACTCAACGTCACTCACCCAACCTCCCTCACTCAATCCCACTCTCTCAACCTCACTCTCCCAACCTCACTCACTCAACCTCACTCACTCAACCTCACTCACTCAACCTCACTCACTCAACCTCACTCACTCAACCTCACTCACCCAACCTCACTCGCTCAACCTCACTCACTCAATCTCACTCACTCAACCTCACTCACTCAACCTCACTCACTCAGCCTCCACTCAACCTCACTCACTCAACCTCACTCACTCAACCTCACTCACTCAACCTCACTCACGCAACCTCACTCACTCAACCTGACTCACTCAACCTCACTCACTCAACCTCACTCACTCAACCTCACTCACTCAACCTCACTCACTTAACCTCACTCACTCACTCACTCAACCTCACCGACTCAACCTCACTCACTCAACCTCACTCACTCCACCTCACTCACTCAACCTCACTCACTCAACCTCACTCACTCAACCTGACTCACTCAACCTCACTCACTCAACCTCACTCACTCAACCTCACTCACTCAACCTCACGCACGCAACGCACGCACGCACGCCTGCGCGCGCGCGCGCGCACCCACGCAGGCACGCACGTGCACGAGTGCAGGCACGCGCCCACGCACACGCGCAGGCATGCGCGCACGCACGCAGCCTGTGCCAGTTGCCACGCAAAGCATGTCAAAACCAGTCCTTTTTCTCGGTTTTTTGCGGTGAAAACCTTGCATTTTTCCAGTGTTTCAAGGCTGCCGCGCCCAGCAACATCCCCAGCATCACCTGCATCACCAGCATCACCCGCATCACCGGGGCAAGCCCGCAGACTCACAAGCCCAAGGCTGCAGACCCAGAACCAGACCCAAAAACAAGCCCAAAAACGCACCCCCAGGAAGCAAATGATGCAGGTGATGCTCTTGATTTTCCTCTTCACGGACCCGCCGGCCGCATCAGTTGCATCACCTGGTCGGCGGCAGAGGGTGGCAGCCCCATAGAGCTTCGCTCTAGAGCCTTGCTCCAAAGGACCAAGGGGCAATCTGACACAGCCGTTCGGCCCGCTTCGCAGGCCGCGGCCGGATTTACGTTGCTGGCGCACAACCGGCCGCGGCAGCATTGCGACGCTGCACTTTGTATCTGCCAGCCGTCACTCCACAACAACAACACAGGCCGCCGACATTACAGGCCTGCTTTGTTGTATGTGTACCTGTGGAATTTTCCCTTTGGAAGTTTTCCTTTGGAATTGTTCCATTGGAATTATCCCATTGGAATTCTCCCATGGGAAGTCTCCCTTTGGACATTTCCTGTTTGAATTTTCCCTTTGCAAGTTTCCCCTTTGGAATTTTCCTTTTGGAATTTTCCCATTGGAGTTCTCCCATCGGAAGTTTCCCTTTGGACGTTTCCCTTTGGAGTTGTCCTTTTGGAGTTTGCCCATTGGAATTCTCCCACTGGAAGTCTCCCTTTGGAAGTTTCCCTGTGGAACCTTCCCAATTGGAAGTGTCCGTTTGGAATTTTCCCTGTGATATTTCCCCTTTAAATTCTCCCTTTGGAATTTTCCTATTTTGTTTTGTTTCTTTGGAGTTCTTTCCCAATGGAATTTTCCCCACTGGGTATTCCCCTAACAAATTGACAATAGTGACACAAATTATACTTGTGTAATTTTTGCTAAATTGAAGACTTGATAAATTTTGCAATATTTGTAAAACTTGCAAT